ATTAAGTGACATTTTCCCCTGTGAAGCTAAACTGCATTTTTTTCTTAAAAAAGAAGCAATGATAAAATTAATTAAGGGAGGTTTGACTTGCTTATTTTGCCATTTAAATTGCTCTTCTTTTTCCATTGCTAATTGAGAAATTTAATTTCTCCAGGATAGTTCTATTGTACACAAAAGAGGCTGCAATCTGGTAATTAAAAGAAAAAGGAATATTGCTCCCCAGAAACATTAAAAATAGAGAAAATCCATTCAGAATAATAAGACCAATAATAGCTCCTGTTGATTTGGTGACCAGCTTTAAATTTGACAATAAGTTCTGAATACTTGGTTTATGAAAGATATCAGATACAACAGCAGGAAAAAATAGACTCTTTGTACCATTATTTGAAATTTCCCTGAAATAAAAGTTGAGTAACATGAAAAGTGCTTAAAAACCCTGACATTTTCTTAATATTTTTCTCAGACAGGAATGCTGACTTCTGAAGAATTATCAGAATTTATTTCTGGAAGACCTCAACTGTGACTCCTGACCAGACAAAGCAGCAAAGTGGCTCTTCAGCAGAACTTTCAAAGCAGAGAAGTTCCAACTTGCTCTGGAATCCCATTCCCTTGGATATTCATTACCTTCTGACTGATATTTTTAAACCTGCCTATGGGATTTGGATGCCCAATTCCCATTAAAATTAAAACGGGAAATGAGGAACCAAATTAAGTAATTGAATTAAAATTAATGAGAGCTGGGCATCCATATCCTTAAGGCAAGTTTGAAAATTCCAGCCAGTCGAGTTTTAGGACAATGCCTACATTTCAGGACAAATATGTGTGCTCTGGATGTGCACTGACCTACAGGAAAGAGGGAGAGGTGTTTCTGCCACACAGTGGAAAACACTTCTGTCAGTGGAGGAAAATATCTCCAAACACTGACCAGTGCTAAAAAATGACAGATATAAACCTGATATATATCTGCATTCAAATCCTAGGCAATGGCTGCTCATAATTCAGATAATCAGGGCTATCAGAGCATGATTTAGAGCTGCAGTTTGATTTTTAAAGAGGGATTGTCATAATATATTTAAACATTACTATATACTATTATTCAGAGCTTCCCACAGATTTCCCTGTCACTTCAAACATTATTATTTTATATTACTAGAAGAGATCAATCACTTCCATGTAATATATTTAAAATTACTGATTTTCCCCCCCATACCCTGCATAGCTCTCCTGGCATAAAAAGAAGTCCACAAAGTTTATGGGTCAGCAAGAAGCTGGCTAATAACACAAATCATAGATTTATATTGGCACTGGAAGTTGGATTTGTGGCTCCCAAAAGTATTTATACTTTTGCTGGCAACTGAAATCATACAGCAATAGAGATCTGTGGCAGCTTAATGGACTTGGGCTTACTTTGTTTTGCAGTTTTTGGTGTGATCTTCATTTAGCAGAAGACTTTAAACTGAGTTTTTAACTACCCTACTCTCATTTTTGCTACATGAATGTTCAGGGATCTCCCTATCAGTTAACCAATTCTTAAAACAAACTCCCTTCATCTCACAGCAAAGATGCCAAATTTCACTGACGCAAACAGAATTCTTCTGAGAGTTGAAGGTATGGCAAAAGTGAAACCTGTGTTTTATCAAAGAAAAGAACTTTCTATTAAATAATCCAAGTATTGATGGAAATTTAATAGCTGGCCAAGCAATATATAGTTAATGTCTTAACACTGACAGTTTTCTCTGTAGGTAGAATTTCAGATTTCCTTCATGACTCTCAAAGAGTCTCTTAATCTTCTATAGCCCAAAGTACACGTTGGCAAAGCAGCTCCAGGTGAATCACTGCATATCGCAAAATCCTGGATGTGCCCACATCTCGTGCTATCCCTGGAAGGGGTGGCTGAGGCCAGCTTGGAGGGGGCTTGGAGCAATCTGATCTGGGGCATAAAAATCATCCCATTCCACTCCCTGTGCTGCTGGGCAGGGTCACCTTCCACTACCCCAGGTTGCTGCAAGCCCCATCCAGCCGGGCTTTGAACACTTTCAGGGCATAGTTTATAGTTACTCTCCTCCCTAATCCATTCAGATGCAAATCAAAGAACTGCTGGTGGAAAAAAAAAAAAAAAAAAAACCCTTAACAAATTTAAGAGCGTTTAGGAAAAATCCTGCAAAAACACAAAGGTTATTCACTGTCCTGTGATATACATCATTATTAGCCACATCTCTCTGATCACTACCCTGAAATTTCCCCAGCTTTCTCTCCTTCTGCTCCATGTTTTATTACTTTCTTTCTAATTTATCACCACAAGCATCCAAACAAGAAGCTGTGTCCTATTAAGCACTTTACAGGATTTACATTATACAGCCATTACTGGAAATGTTGCATGTCATTAATAAAACTGCTGCTAATTTTAAATAAACTCCACAGTTTCACAGAGGAACATGAGCAGATATAAAACTTGGGGAAAAAAAATCAGATTTATAATGTCATAAAGGATAATTACTGAGAACATTATCAAGGCAAAATTTCTTCTCTTCTCCCTGTAATTAGTGTCCAAGGATCTATTTAGAACTTCTGCTTCCTCTAGGTAACATAACAGTGGTTTGGAGGATACACAGCACAACTCACTGATGTAGATCTGGAGGGGAATTTGTATGAGGAACGGCTGAGGGCACTTGGCTCCTTCAGCCTGGAGAGGAGGGGAGCATAAATGGGGGATGCAGGACACAAAGGAATGGCTGGAGCTGTTCCAGGGCAGGGTCAGGCTGGATATCAGGAAGGGTTCTTCCCCAGAGGGTGCTGGCACTGCCCAGGCTCCCCAGGGAATGGGCACGGCCCCAAGGCTGCCAGAGCTCCATGAGGGTTTGGACAATGCTGCCAGGGATGCACAGGGTGGCATTGTTGGGGTGTCTGGGCAGGGACAGGTCAGAATCCATGAGAAAAAATAAATAGTAAATAAAATAAGAAATAAAAACAAATAGAAAATAAACAGTCTCCCAAATAACTTCCACTTCAGTTTTCAGCAGGTCCAAAGGTTATTTGGTTTTTTGTTTTATTTAAGAATCCCTGCACAGGAAATGTTGACACCCACCAACAGCAAACCCCAAACAAAGCCTGGCAGTTGTCAGGTACAATAATCTAAGAAGAAAGCTATGAAAATTTCTTTTTTAGAATGTCTGCATTGTACCCCCAAGTGGCTCTAAGTTGTTGCAGGTGTTCTTTGCAGTGCCTGTGTTAATTCTTCATGCCGCCTGGTCTGGGCACTGCCGTGTGATTTATGTGTGATGGGAAGAAGGGGGGAAAATTACATTCTCAGCCAATTCTCATCACCACTTCCCTAAATTCCTGGGAGACACTGGCAGGGTAGGATCTGCAACAGCAGCCTCTCCTGGGAGAGCAGCAGTTAAATGTCCATGGATGTTGTAGTGCTCCAATGCAGGCTGATCCTTAGGGATGACACTGGCACTCACTAAGCTGCTACAAGCCTGTGACAAACCTCCAGAGACCTTTATTTACTGCACTGTTATTCTTCCCAGAGCCCAGAAAATTGGAGCAATCCAATTTACAGTCTGTCTGACAACAGTCAGACGTGTTGGGGTGTTAGAGAGGACCTTTGACGTGACCTGTCACTGAACTGTATCTGTATTTCAGGAGAGATTAAAGCCAAGTCCAATCTGCATTTTCCCTGGGGAACTTTATGGTACTTTCCAAACTACACACTTGTCCCATATTTCACCCTTGCTCCACACACCAACTGATTTATTCACTATACATGCTGCTTAACTATTTCTTTCTAGCTGTTTCACACATGCCTGTTGCTTTTCCACTAGCAAATCCTGAGGCACTGTCCTTAGGAAACCAGCAAAAAATCATTGCAGTGGCCATGGTGGAAAGTGTTTCCTTCTTGCTTGCACACTGGCTCTCTCTAGTCCTGTGTACTAAGGGCACTTTCAATTCATTTTGGGAATATTGGGCAGAATGGAAGCTTTGGAGAAGGTTTATTAGGGTGAGCCTCCTGCTGGGTCACACCTAAATCCTTCCCATGGGGGACTCTGGATGTGGCTGGATCCAGTCCTGTAGCCATGATATTTTCTGAAAAATCATTTTGCTAGGACTTTTTCTCCTGGGAAGCTGAGATGCCTCAGGAACAAAATGTAAACAATGGTTATCTGCTGCTGGGGAATACAACAGGTGCATCTGTGATTGGTCTCATGTGGTTGTTTCTAATTAATGGCCAATCACAGTCAGCTGGCTCAGATTCTCTGAGAGTCACAAGATTTTGTTATCATTCCATTTTCCATTCCTTTCCATTCAAGCCTTCTGATGAAATAATTTATTCTATTCTTTTAGCATAGATTTAATATAACATATATCATAAAATAATAAATCAAGCCTTCTGAAACATGGAGTTAAGATTCTCATCTCTTCCCTCATCCTGGGACCCCTGCAAACACCACCACACAATCCCAGCCCCAGGCTTGGTTTGCCTCAAGGATTGTACAAGTGTAACTGAGCCTTTGGATGGGATGGAAACCCAAACACAGTTATATGACTAATTAAATTCTTTATTTAAATTGATTATGATAATCAAGATCTTAATCAGAATTATTTACTACGAATTATAGACAGCTCTAACTATGACCACTATTTGTTGAAGCAATGATATTAAAGCTAGAAAAACAGTTATTAAATAGAGATTGATGTCACTCACCCATCCCAGTGACCAAATCTCTTTCCTCAGCCTCAGGGAGTGACCTTGAGGGTGTTCCCACTCCAGGGAGGAATCTCCACACACTCCTAGAAGGGGGGTGTTAGACCCTCCTGTTAAAAAGTGGGCTAGGTATATATGGCCTAAAGTTGTGCTAGGGTTTCCTATAAATTCATTTGACAGACAAATGCTGAATATTTAAAAGTGCAAAGCAAACTCAAAAACAGAAGGGAGAAGGGCTTAGCCTGGATTTTGGCTTTACATCAGCAGATTTTTTTCCCAAGTGTGTGCACACAAGACCAACAAACCAGCCTCATATTGATTAATATTTATTAATCAGCAGTGCCTGCTGATTTCAGTTAAAAGCTGAAAAATGGGAATCTGAAAGAGCTTCTCTCTGTCTCAATAAAAACATCTAATAAGTAATAATTTTCCCAACAGGGAGCCTGCTTTAAAAAGCTTGCATGTTCTTCCACCAGCTCTGTGTTCTTCAGAGGTTTCTTTCCATGTTTCTCCCAGAGCTTTTACACAGAAAGGAGAAGAAAGACAATCAGGTTTTGGTTAGATTTATTTTTGTAGGCCTAGAAAATGATAAGTCAGGTGTAATCATGCCTGAATTGATCTTACACACCTTGGCCATGCCTTTGAATATCACAGCATTCAATAGATCTTCAGCTGTGTGAAACTGACACAGAGTTCAACACATCCCAGCTGTACCTCAGTGGAATATGCCTCACTTTTCCCACTGTGTCTCTGTGTTTTGGGAAAAAGAGAAACAGATTTATGTAAAATTTACACAGACTTGTGAAAAACTTATAGACAATATGGAAAAAACACAACAGAATCATTCAGTTGCGAGGAATGGGCAGTGATCATCTTGTCCAAGCTCCTCACCAGTTCAGGGCTGATTGACAGATTTGTGAACCAGCAGAGGAAGTTTTATGCCAGATAAGGACATTTGAACATCAGGATAATTCTTTCTTGCTCCACCTGTTCCAAAGTCTTATTTCACTTATTATGAGATCATAGAAATAGTTCTTTCAGCATTTTTCTTTTTATGGCTACAAGCTTATCCACCAGTCAATCCCTTCCCTTTCATTGTCACCTAAGCTTAGGCTGAGCATAAGTCAAAATAGCTCCATACATTTATTTTTATTACCAAAAAGCCTTGAAGGCTCAGGAAATGCAGCACTTGCTGTGGAAATGCTGGACGGTTTCATACTGGTATAGTCACTGTCTCTAAAAACTTACCAACTTCACATAATGAAAATTGTAATGAAACACTCTATATAAAAGCATAGCATTGGAACTGTGATTTTTATTAAAAATAGTACTTCAGGAAGCAGTCAAATTTGAAGTTACAGTTAATTAGATTATTCAAGTCAAATTGCTTGTTCTAGAAAGCATGAGTAATGAAAAAACACTTTCATTACATTTTAATTTTTTACAAGTCAAATATTTACTTCAGAAATTTCCCAGGTATAATAAAAATGCATAAAGCCAGAAAGGAACTTTAAGAGCAAAACACAACTATTGAGGTGTACCTGTTTCTTCTCCGGCTTTTTATTTGTTTACTTTTCCTGTTTTAACAGCAATTTTCACCTCACTATTGCAAAATTTTTCACTTTAGCCAATAAACCAGAACAATCAATGAGCTTTACTGTCCTTCTAAAATCTTTGGAATCTCAGAAAATTCCAGCCACAGATACTGAGCAACTTTCTCAAGGTCACAGAAGGAACTGGGAAATTATTTGAGTCACAGTCCAATAGCTTGGACCTCCTCCCTCAATAGACCTCATTAATAAAAACTGGCTGAATTATATTAATAGGAATTAATTTTTTTCCAGGCTGGAGCTGTGTTTGATAGGAATAGGATACAACTGGCTCTCTGTGGCATTCCTCACCCTTAACTATAATGTGTGTGTGTAAGGCTGTGACAAATGAAAGGACTCACATGAGCGCCATTCTGAGAGAAAAATTAAATATGTAGGTCAAGAGGCAAGCAAAGACACACCAGGTTCATGCATTTGGACCACACAGTAGAAATTTTATTTGTTTATTTTGTATTTTATTTGCTGTGCCATGACAGGGCTTTTATACAGGCTCTCCCTCGTACCTAATAATTAATGAGTTTATGATGACTATGGTGTAACAAATGAACATCACTCAGCATCCTTTAACATAGCACCATGATGGTCCCTATGGCTCCATTTTACAGTTTGAAACTTCTATTCCAGTTTCCTGCTCCTTTTTCTGCCAGCCTTTCTACTCAGCAATCTGCATTCTTTGACAATAAATAAGCAAATTAATGCCATGACTAAAGTTCCTTTGCTTTAGCTTAGAGATTTCCTCCTCTAGATTTCCTTTACCTTCCTCTCTGAACTGAGGACAACCCTTATCAGATTTATTACCATTGTCAATAAGTAGATTATGAGCATTCATCTGAGACATGAGTTCCTCACCAAAGCAGACTGGAATTTGCATGTAAACAACCTGTCTAATTTCTCCTCGTAAGAGCCTAGCTGGAAGTGCCCATTCTTTAAGCTGGAGGTTTCAGAACTGAGGCCTATTTTAATCCAAAATACCAAAACTCTCCCCATTTCTCATCCTTCTCCCCACCATTGGTGCAAAATCCCAGAGCACACAATAATGCTGGCCATAGATTTTGTCTATAAAAACTGCACAGTGAGTCTTGTTCTAAACTTCCTCCAAACTTAAACTGACTTCTTAAAGATTTTAATAAAACCAGCTTAAAACACCCTAAAAACTAAACGAGGCAAACCCAAAGATCACCTATACATGACTGAAGTAACAGGGCTACTAGAAGTGCCCAAAATTGAGTAAAATCAGAATCCTCCAAGGTTGCCACCATATAGCCATTAACTGAAAGCTGACATTCCCAAAGATTCCATTCTGATGGTGGGATCTCCATCACAACCACAACTCCACCCAAACACGTAGGCTACAGTTAACCACTGCTAACCTCAAAGTTAAGCATCTGTCTTCCACTGTAGGGAACTGTGAGGACATATCTTAAAAGCAGATGGTCTAGGATGAAATTGAGTCAACAAGACAACCTTGTATCTGAGGATGTTTATTGGTAATGAAAAAAACAACAAAATAAAAACAGGATCAGGGCAGGATTGGAGGCGGGCAGGGTTGGGCACAGGTGGTTCAGGCAGGGACAGACAAGAGGGCGAGCAAGAGCCAGTGAGGACAGAAGTGCCAAAAGGCAGGCTGGAGCCAGGACAAAAGGGCAAAAACAGGCCAGGGCCAGAAGGAGACCTCAGCAGGTCAGAGCCAAAGCAAAAACACAAGACCCAGAAGGCCCCCAGACCCAAAAAGCCCCAAAGACAAGATATTAAAAACCCCCAGAGCTTCTGGTACAGTCACTTTTATGCCCCCTGGCTCCTCCCAAAGTCCACCTGGTCCACCAGGAGACCATGGGCCCAGTCCAGCCTTCCACAGCAGTCCATTGGTGGGGATCTTCTGCATCTGATTGTGATGGGTTTTTTTAAGTTTTAGCTTTTATATTTTTCAGATTCTGTGCTGCTCTAGTGTGCAGCTCTGAGCTTCATATTAGGGGTTAATAAGCTCTCTGCATAGAGTAGGGAGGGAGACAAAACAATGCTTGGCTGTATTGGATCTCTTCAGGCACAGGAGAAGGCAGGAATGTCTGGGATTCAACGTGGCTTTCAAAATCATTCCCTTTTTTAATTAAAAAGGGCTCTTCTGAAAGGAAAGAGTTTCATTAAAAAGAGAAACAAAACAACTCTCTAATCCTTTTGCTTCAATTCTACCTAACAATTTATTTCCAACACTTATTTCACCATGAACTTTCTGTTTGGAATGACTTAGCTGTTAGGAACAGGTAAAACTCCATGTCCCTCTTTTCATATAAATACTCACCCAAGTGCAGGTAACATGGAAATAATTTTCTTAATAATTGCCATATCAATTTCTTCCTCCCCAAATAATTCATTATTGAAAGACCTTCCCTACCTTGTGTTACAACAGAGCAGGGCTTTGTTTCCTCTTGGAAATCACTGATTTGGTTAAGACTTTTAATTTTAAAACCTGCTAAATTGTGATAACAATTAGGTTGACTTCCTTCCCTCTGCAAGTGCTATACAAAACCCCATCAATCAAGGTGTATCTAATTATGAAACTAAGTTAGGAGGTGTTTGAACAAGATGGCTCAGGCTCTCAAGGGACCTGAGAATTGAATTGGTACTTGAGACATATCAAATTAGTTAATGATTTGGGGACCTTTATTCTGCAAGAGCATGGAAATTAAAAAAGAATAATGAAATTCATTAGAGCTTGGGAACATGCAGAAAGGAGGACATTTGGGCCTCGCTGCATGGGAAGTTTATCTTGGTAGAATAAAGACAAGTGGTGGTGAGGGGAGCACTCCTGGTTTCACAATTCACCTTACAGGTGACCGCAGCACTGCTCATCTCATTAATTATAAAACACAACTCAGCCCTGGACTATGTCAAGCACTCACAAACAGCCATGGCTTGGAGCTGGGGGTGCTTCCTCCCCTTTTTTGAGGAGGAATAAATGCAAATCCAGGCAAATTTGCCTTTGGAAGCAGGTAGAGCCTGTCAGGTACATGAGTAGTGCTGGTGCTGCCCTGACAGAGCTGCAGGACACCACACCTGAGGAGAAGCTGATTTCAGCCAGATGGTTCCAAGCAGTGTCTGAGCTAATCTGGCATTCCTACCTGATGTACTGAGATTCCGGTTTATAAATCCAGCTCACCCTGTGTGTTCATTTTCTGCACAGCCCCTTCAAAATCAACACACAGACAGCAGAGACATTCCTGGCATTAAGGAGCAAAGAGCTGGATCACAAAACCTTTGAGCAAGGGTGGAAACTTTCAGATTTATATTCAGATTTAAGTCTGAGTGGTTTGGGTGGGAAGGGACATTAAATCCCATCCAGAGCCACCCCTACCATGGCAGGCACACCTTCCACTATCCCAGGTTGCTCCAAGTCCCATCCAGCCTGGCCTTGGACACTGCCAGGGATCCAGGGGCAGCCACAGCTTCTCTGAGCACCCTGTGCCAGGGCCTGCCCACCCTCACAGGAAACAGTTCCTTCCCAATAGCCCATCCAACTCTGCCCTCCTTCAGCTTAAAGCCATTCCCCCTTGTCCTGTCACTCTTCTGCTATTTTGAAATTGTAGTATCATAAAAACAAATTTAGAAAGAAGAATGTCCTACTGCCGATGTTTGTTGGTTTGTGTTTTTTCTTTTTTGTTTTAAGTAGAAAATACAACAAATAAAGTTTAGTCAGAGCTCAGAAGTTGCTTTTAGATGAGGAAAAAGCAAGAAGGTAAAAAATTTCCTTGTACAGTCCTACCTGCTGTAATGGAGCAGCGCAATAACACTGCTGGTATCAGCTGATAGAGTTCCTCTGAGTAAAGTAGAACAATTCCAAACTACAGGAATTCTAGATCTTGGTCTTTTTAAAGGCCTGTTGTGAGTAAGTATTTTGAGCTTAAAATTGTGTTTTTACTTGTTTTACTTCAGCAGAATCCTGAAATGTTGAAAAAAGTCCCCATTTCAGAGACAGATTCCTCCAGCCTTGGGAACCAAAATCAGATTTCAAACAGTAACAACCACATTTCTCTTTCTCAGGTCCTTCAGAAGAGTTTTCATAATAATAATAATAATAATAATAATAATAATAATAATAATAATAATAATAATAATAATAATAATCTCATAAATGACATATTTACAATCTAGTGAGCTAAAGCTGAAGGGTCAGGAGAGTTTTCAGGAGATCTCTGGGTTAACCCTGAAAAGCCCAGGCAGAATTGAATGAGATGGTATAAGACAAATTTCACTTTTGGGGATCCTTTACTTCAGTCAGACATTTGCAATACACATTTGCCTAGAATTACCAAAAAAAATCACAAGATTTATTTTCCAATATTTTTTTTGGCAAATTAAAGGCAATTATTTAAGTGCCTTTTAGGAAGACATTAAACCCAGATATTTCATAAACAGGACTTTAGAGCATGGGCAAGGAGCTGCTCACACAATTAAACAGTCACTGCTTGAAAAATAAGGATTAGGGAACCAGAAAAAAATAACCAGGCTAATTAAATCTGCTAAAAACCAGGAGAACACAGGAGAAAATTCATGCAGCCAGCAGAATTGACTTGAACACAGAGTTTTTAAGATTGATGAGGTATTTGTTGAGAGTGGCTTGAATGGTTTTAGCCAAAGCAAGGAGTTTGGGGATTGTGGCAGCTTCAGTTTTAAATATCTGCTATTTCCTTAATTAAATAGGTTTAAGAAAATTATTGCAAAAGTCCATTTCTGGTAGCTTTGGAACTCATCCAGAAAGAGCCTGCTGAGTAAACATGCTGTTAATCTATAATAGCTGAAAAGTACTTTTCGGTCCCCAAGCATGCTGTCATCCACCACCTTGCCTTACTGAGGAAAACTAACTTAGGTGCCTTGAAAATCCCCTTTCAACCTCAAACCTGCTGCAAGGGTGGCAAAGATGAAACTAACACCATCGAGGGATCAGTAACAAAATTAATTGAGATCATTCCCCTAGGAGTTTGGGTCAGATTTCACTGTTACTTGCTCTTAATTCACCCAAATGCTTTAACTCCCTGCATGCACAATGATGGCTTGACCTGCTGTGTCCCCTCACACTGAGCTTTCCTGTGCTTTCCTTACAGAATCATTGAGGTTGGAGACACTTCCAAGGTCATCAAATCCAGCCTCAACTCAATATTTAATTGTTCAAACTGAAGTTTTAGCACTCTCATGGATGATGACTCCACCACCCAATGTCCGACAGCCTTTCCATGAAGTTTTTTTTCCAATATTCAACCTGAACTTCCTTTGATGCAACTTGTGGTCATATCACTTTATCCTGTCCCTGTTTCCTGGGAGCAGAGCCCAATCCCCACCTGGCTGCCCCCTCTGTTATGGAGTTGTGGAGAGGGATCCACGACTCCCCTGAGCCTCCTTTCTCCAGGTTGAGCTCCCTGAGTACCCCCAGACACTACTCAGAGGATTTAAGTTCCAGCCCTTTTCCAGCTTTGTTGCCCTGCTTAATTTTCAAATTTCTAATTACCATTTTCTAATTTCATGGATTCTTTTTTTCCTTTTTCTCAGCATGACCTCATTAGAAGCATCCTGGTTAGGAAGGATGTTGGTATTCCTAAGCTACATTAAGATGTTAAATTGTAAAAATTCTGCCATCTTCCCTTCTCTAGATTCTATTTTTGCTCAGTACTTGAAAGAGGTGGGGTTTTTTTCTCCAAAAGAATCCAAACCCCAGCATCGTGTTCAAAAATCCTGGAAGGAAAAGAGGCTTGGGAAAGCACAGAATCCTGGAACAGAACCACCACAGCCACTGGGAGTTACTCCTTTATCTTTGAGTAAAGAGCTTGAGGACAGAAACTTTTTTTCCCTGGCATTAATCAGACCCCCTCAAACAAAAACTTCAGTAAAAAGAAACTGTCTTTTTCTCACTTTTTGATATTTTGTTATTTCTTTCTGTGGAGACAAATCATGCACAAGAAAAAAGTTGAGTTCCATTACAGTAACAGACTAAGGGGATAAAGATACCTCACATTTGTTTTTATCTTTAATGTTCTCTTTAGCCTAAAGGGATATAGTATTTGTATAATATTTGTAGTTTGGAGATAGCTCATTCTGGGGCTTAGAGGAATTTTGAAGAGAATCTTAGTGTACATGAGTAGAAACTAACATTGTGCAGCTTTATTAAAAATCTTCTCATTTCATGGTTTTCTAAACTTCTGCATGAAAAGCATTTCTGATAAAATGTTCTAATAATGCTGCACTGAATATCTTTCTTTGTCCCAATTTATTAATATTTATTTGGGAGTCAAAAAATCATTGAGCTTGCTGTACCTGTGGGGATTTAATAAATATTCAAGGCCAGGCTGGATGGGGCTTGGACCACCCTGGGATAGTGGAAGGTGTCCCTGCCATGGTAGGGGTGGCTATGGATGGGCTTTAATGTCCCTTCCCACCCAAACCACTCTGGGATTCTGTAACTCACTGATATTTAAAATAGTTTCATCAAAGTTATCTTTTCTATAAGCATAATTCCCTCTCATTCACTCACTGACAGCCATCAAGACCTGAAGTGAATTTGTATGGTGAAAGCCTTATTTGCTGAATATCTACAAAATCACAGAAATTAAAATATGTATAATAGGTAAAAGCACATAAATTAAAACAAATTGCATAAAATACTGCATGTCATAAAATAAATACATGTTTTCACCATGCCCTGGTGCTGAGAATCAGCACTGTGAGTCAGGAAGGGAGTGCTGCCAAGGGATGGCCCTGCTGTGGAATTCAGGAGTGCAGCTTGTCCTGGGGTGCAGCTCCTGGCAAAGCCTGGAAACCCCCTTCTAGCCAGTATTTCACACTGACAAACAGAAAAACAAATAATGGATTTTTAACCACTATTGCCAAGGCTGGAAACAAAGTTGAGTGACAGAAAGGCTTAATTTTGTTAATTAATTTAATTTTACACTACTGTGCTAGGCACTGTTTTGCAGTGGCTTCCCTAAATTTCATGAGTACTGGAAATGGATCATATTCTAGTGGTGTTTGTCTAGAAGAAAAATATAGGAACATAATATAGTCCTCTTTTATTATTATAAAATAAAGATAGAATTCACCATCATTATTATTAGTCACAATAATACCATTATTATTATTATTATTAATATTATCTGGGCATGTTGCTGTTTGGAATTTGGAACTGAAAAGAACACAGACATTGTTTCTCCATGAAAACACTTCCATGAAGATATAAGAGGTGAAAAAGCATCTGATTTTTGAGCTAAATAAAAAGCCAGGTTGATGAGTGGACCTAAAATTGGCAGAACCTTTGAAAAGGGTCTGAGGAGGAAAACCCTTCTTCACTTTGTTCTGAAAAGCACATTTTGTTTCATGGCCAATCTGCAAGGGGCAGAATGAGATGGGAAACTGCAATTCCAGAAAAAGAAATCAATTTTCATATGCAAATATAAACAATAAAAGATCCCATTTTGCTTCATTTCCCTGGATCCTCATCACTCAGAGGTTTTTCCTTCATTTCTCTCTGTGCACGCTCTAAAAGCAAGAAGTTTTGTACTGGGACATCTGACAGATGTGAAGGATTTTGGGTGCCCTGTGCTGTTTATAAACATTATTGTATCAAAATTAATTTTGCCAAGGGCAAACATTACCTCTGGAAAGAATTCAACCTTCATGAAGAGGAAAGCAGTATTTCAGGTACTATCTGCAGAATTTCCATTATCCAGGGGCACATCCCATGGATCTCCAAGGTTACCTGCTCTCCAAGGCACATTGCTGAATATGTGCAAGGTTTCCATTTTCCTGACAGGAACAATTACAAATGCCATGCAAGAATAATTCCATACAAAGAAATGAAACAGGCACCAGGAACTCTCTAAGGTGGCACTTACAAATGCTAATGCTGCAAAACCAAAAGAGTGACTGGGAAAAAACAGGTATTTATGGCTATCTTAAAAAAATTGAGGATTTTATAACAGTGCATGAAATAGGTGCTATTTGACACAGAAACATGGAATTGTTAAGATTGGAAAAGTCCTGCAGGATTATGGAGTTCAACATTAACCCAGCACTGCCAAGCCCACCACTGAGCTGCATTGCTTAGCACCAGAGCCACTGGTGCTAATGTTTTTTGAACCACTGGTGCACAGGTTTCTGAATCACTGGGAATGGTGACTGTTCCCTTGGGCAGCCCATTCCAATGCCTGACAGTCCTTTCTGTGAAGGAATATTTCCAATAACCAACCTTAGCCTGCCCTGGCCCAGCCTGAGGCCGCTCCCTCTACTCCTGTCCCTGTTCCTGGGAGCAGACCCTGACCCCCCGGCTGTCCTCTCCTGTCAGGAGCTGTGCAGAGCCACAAGGTCCCCCCTGAGCCTCCTTTGCTCCAGGCTGAGCCCGTTCCCAGCCCCCTCAGCCCCTCCTGGAGCTCCAGCCCCTCCCCCAGCTCTGTTCCCTTCCCTGGACTCTCTCCATATCTTCTTGTCATCAGGGATCCAGAGCTGCCCCCAAGGATTCCAAGAGTGGCCTCAGCTGTGCCCAGCACAGGAGGAAATGAATAATTTTAGTAGCAATATTCACCTTTGGATACAAACTCTCCATCCTGTGTCTCTTCCAGCAGTACCAGCAGGAGCTGCCCAGAGTCCCCTCCAGGCTGGCACAGGTCACAGCAGCAATTTGTGCTGGAAAGGAAAAGCACATGGTCAGGAGCAGCTCCCCTCCATCCCCTGGGATGTGCCTTCCATCCCCTGGGATGTTCAAGCTGAGCACTCAGTGCTCCTTCACTCAGTGGGACTGGATTCCTGCTGCTGCTGCTGAGTCAGTGTGTGCTCTGTAATTCCTAGCAGAGCCATGGGATATGCAGAACACTGAATTGCTGTGTTAGGCTTCTGGAGAAATATTAAGAAGATATTTTAAAATATACTTTGAAATACAGCACTATGAATAAAACATGCTGTTTTTCACCAAGCATTTTGTTTCAGCTAGAGGATATCCCCAGCACCATAGATTCATTTTGTAATTTTGCGCTGCACTGCTCCAGGATATTTTGGCATTTTTCCCCCCCTCAGCCTGTGTGTGTCTGTGGAGTGAGGGATGGCCAAGCAGAGCTCTCCTTTAATAAAGGACATAACTGGAGCATGGAAGATGGATAGGTCAGTGCTGGCATAGCTTACCTGAGCCAGCCTGGGCATGCTCTGGAGGTCACCAGCATTCCAGGATGGGGTGGGAAAAGGGCCCTGGGGGCTGGTGAAGGTGTTCCAGCACATGGCCTGAGGACAAGGTTAATGGAACAGCCTCTCCCAGCACACAGGACAAGGGGGAATGGCCTTAAGCTGAAGGAGGGAACATTTAGATGGGATATTGGTGAGGAATTGTTCCCTGTGAGGGTGGGCAGGCCCTGGCACAGGGTGCCCAGAGAAGCTGTGGCTGCCCCTGAATCCCTGGAGTGTCCAAGGCCAGGCTGAACATAGCTTGGACAAGCTGGGCTAGTGGGAGGTGTCCCTGTCCATGGCAGGGGTGGCATTGGATGGGCTTTGGAGTCCCTCCCCAGTCCATTCCATGGATCCATGAATTTTGCCTGTTTTACTTTAAGGTTTACCTATCTATATTGCCCCCCACAAAGTACTTAGTGCAAAAGAATTTTCCCAGGGACAATGCAATCTCAACAAGAAAGTGATGTCTTTTAGAGCTGTACAAGTCCATGGGAAGGCTCTGTGGGATCAAGGTGGTCTGGAATCCATAAGGAAAAGAGAAACTTAACTGCACTGTAACTGGAAAATGAGGAATCCCATTCCAAGTCTATCTTAATCCTCTCACTCTGGAGCGGCTCCCTATGAAGCTGCACATAGGGATGATTGCTGATCTCCTGTCAGAGGTGGAAGTAAACCCTTCTGTATTTAGGCTTTTTTCCTTTTTTTAAATTTTTTGTGCCACAATCTCTTCTCTAGCAGCACTCCTCCCTCATTCACTGCAAGCAAGTGGATAGGACATTCACATTTTCAGTGCTCCTCAATTTTGTGGGTTTTTTTTTTTTTTAGTTTTTTTGGGAAGGAGCTTATGCATGAAGCCTCCCACACATCAGCTACACAAGCTCCCTGAGCACAAAGCAGCATTTCTCAAACACTGTATTAAAATCCCAGCCCTATTCAAAAGGACATAATAGTAACCCTGCCATCTCAGCATAACAAACCAATGCCAGTTTTATTTTGTTAAGAAATCTACATTCTGCAAGGAATGTAGATTTGATGGAAGGAGGAGGCTCTGAGTCAGCCACTGGGAACTCAAAGTCAATTTTGAGCTGCAGCATTTTTTAACAACTTGAAGCCTCTCCTGGAGCTTTCAAATTTTTTAACCTGAATTTTTTTTCTTCTTCTACCATTTTACACACCAAAATGCATTAATTTCCACATTTAAATGCAGAACCATAAACTTCATATATATTGGGAGGAAGCTCTGAGGTCAGCTGAGTTTCCCATGGGAAATTCACAAACCTGGATTGTTTCTCATGAGCTTGGAAGTCCCTGAGGAAAATTTGTTCTTCATCATTCCCACAAACTGAGGTGAGCTGACTGGGCCACATCATGGTCTTACCCATGTCCTGAAGAAATAACAAGTGACTTAAAATTTCACAGAATCATTAAAGTTGGAAAAGACCTCCAAGATTCACCAAGTCCAACCATCAGCCCAGCACCAACACCATGTTCTCCACTAAAACTTGTCCCCAAGTGCCACATCCACATGGTTTTTGAACACTTTCAGGGATGATGATTCCACCACTTCCATGGGCATCTCCTTCCAATTTTTAATAACCCATTTACAGAAGAAAGTGCAGCCAGGGATAGGAGTAGAGAGTGAAACTTAAGATTCCTACATTTATTTTTCTCCTCTAATTTACCATCTAAATAAAGAGTTTTAATTCTTCTCTGTCCCTTCTCCAGCTCTCACAGGACTGCAAATACCAGATACCCTCCAGTTTCACAGCGCGCCCCTAAAGTTCCCGTTTTCAGCAAATACAGAACTCAGGTAACAAGGACACGCAGCAACTCCTTCTCCAGCCATGTGTTTTCCACAGCCAGAGCTTCATAGCTGAGCCTTTCCAATCCTTCTGGATGCACCCCTTGGATGGGATCATTTGGGAATTGTTTCTGGCTGATAGCCCCAGTCATCCTTTAAGTTAATCCCCATTAATCACTGCAGGGATCTCTGAAGGACAAGCCAATTGAGTTAATTCCAACATCACCTGCAAAGCTTTTTTTCTTCCACCTAGAGTGGCAAAAAAGAGGAAGGATTAAAAAAATCAATAAAAATAATAAATATGTTGTTGACCTAACCTTTGGTCCCTCTTCCCAGAGCTGCCTGTTTACCTGGGAGGGCTCAGGCTGAGCTGCTGCTAATGATGAGAGCCTGAAAGTTCATTCAAGGAGCAGGCAGCAGCTTCCTGCCAAACTCCCTCTTGTCTCAACTTTTGGAAGCTAATAGTTTAGCATCTCCCTTATTTTTCCCAGGGAGCAGCTTGGGATGAACAAACCATTCTAACCTAGGCTGAAGAGGCACTCTCCATTTCCAGCAGCCAGACTTCTGAACCCCTTTTTTCCTCCAGGAGCATTCTCTGTGCTTCTTTCTGCATTTTCTCTGGTTTAATGCTGTTCATTCAAGCAGGATTTGAGAGGGTTTGAAATTTAAGTACAGGAACAAATACCTCCTGCTTGTTTCACAGTTTGGTTACAGAGCTCTGACATCTACATGGAAATTTATTCCGACAACTTAATTAGTTTTGAAATAGGTAGATTTCAGATAAAGGCAGCCCATTGTCATTATAAGTAGCCAAGAGACATTTTAGTGGCGCAGGAAAGTTTCTAAAGCCTGTCTCACTTGTTAATTTGGGATTACTGTATAATTTTAGTGTCTAAGTACAGCAAGTAATCCACTGATTTGTCAGATACTGAGAGAGCACTGCTTTTGTACAACTCACACGACACAAAAATCTGCTCTGTGAGCCTTCCATGAAAGGAATAAAAAAAGCCAGCAGCAAAAAATCTATTCATTAAATGCCTAGAGGTGTTCCCAAAGATGGTGTTTCAGAAAACTGTCTTGTTTCCACTGGCACCCTGAAGGATTGTTTTGATGACCCTGGCAAGGATATTAATCATTTATGGGTGATACTGAACAGAGAGAGGAAGGATTTGCTGCAGCAAATAATTCCTTTTCCTCTTCACATTTTGAGTGTTTTGTTGGGTTTTTTTCAAAATGCACCACATTTTTAGTTTAATTTATTCCACAGAAAGCCTCAATGGAGAGGATGTGGAGCAAGTCCAGAGGAGGCACCAGGATGGTCAGAGGGATGGAGCAGCTCTGCTGGGAGAGCTGGGATTGTTCACCTGGAGAGGAGAAGCTTTGGGTGACCTCACTGTGCCCTTCCCATGCTTGAGGGGTATCTACAGAAAACATGGAGAGAGACTCTTTACAAGGGCCTGGCAGGGGGAATGGCTTCAAACTGATGGAGGGGGTTTGGATGGGATTTTGAGGAGAAATCCTTCCCTGTGAGGGTGAGCAGGCCCTGGCACAGGATGCCCAGAGAAGCTGTGGCTGCCCCTGGATCTCTGGAAGTGCCCAAGGCCAGGCTGGATGAGGCTTGGAGTAAATCAGGATGGTGGAAGGGTGTCCCTGCCCATGGCTCTGAGCTCCCTTCCAAACCAAATCTGAGATGCCAGGATTATTAAATGCAACATATTTCCTGTTAAACCTGCAATTTTTCATGGATTTTCATGCAATTTTTCATATCCTATGCTTTTCCTGGACACCCCCATACACTGATAAGCATTTGGAAAACTTGTATTTTAGGCACAGATTTTTTTCCTCAGTCTTTGTGCTCAAGAATCCACTGTGCCTTGAGGATTCCTCAAGTTTGTTGCTGCCATCAGCATTCAGAAATGCAGGACCCATTCCCTGACACAGAGTTGATCTCAAACATTCATGGAATGAATAGTCAGTTATGTATTTTGGATATCTTGTATTGGCCCCCCAGCACAGTGAGATTTTCTTTAATAAGGGAGTCCCTCTTTGTTCCAGACAGTCAGAAATAAAAATTCATGTTTAATGTTCTGTTTTGTTTAGAAAAAGAGGCTGGGGGTTCCTAAACCTTTCAGAGCCATCTCAGGCCAGCATTTTGTAGTGCTCTGAGAATTTCTTATGTCCCCCAAATTTGGTATCTTTAACCCTGAGTTTTACAAGAAGTGGATTAAGTCTTATTTCTCATGAAAATTCAGATAAATGCCAACCATTTTTTTCTCTAAATAAGGAAAAATTGTAGCACATATAAGACATTGTCATGTTTTTCTACTTCACCATCTGCAGGATTCTCACAGTCCACAACAAGCTAATAAAGACTAAAAAAAATCAGCAAAATGGTCTTCTCTGATAGCTGATATTTTGAAAAGATTACACCTTCTCTCACAGTGGGTCTGAACAACATTTTGGCTCCAACATTAATTTAGTGTAAGTTATATGAGCATTATTTCTTCACTAGTGAAAGCCAACCTGTGATGCCTGCCCTGCTTTCGGATATTAAAAACCATCTTGCTTATCATTATCTGTTTTCTTATCTAAAACTCCAGCTGCTCATTTCCTGCCCCTCACCCCTGGCCTGACAGGAGCTGGATGCTGCAATATCAGAGGTTTGCAGGCCATGGCAAGGCCCCAGCCAGATGAAAAAGAGAGCAAGAATTAGATGGAACAAACCAAATTCCCATGGAGACT